TTTTCAACCAGCAGGGAAGGACTAGAGATGCATCTATACTGCAACATTAATGCAGCTTGATAACACTTTAAATGCCTGCAAACTTGCACATGCCTCGCACATGGTCCAGTTATTTTGCAATTTTAAGTATACAGATCATTGTATTGGCGAATCATATCCATATATCATATCCAATTGGCAAAATAGGGAAAACTTTTTAAAATGACATTCAGTTGGTGAGAAACACGAATGGGCTTGCTTTGAAAGATGCGTTGGGAAGTGGAAAAAATCACGATGTCTTGACAACTGTAAATATGATTTATATCAGGCATGGGTAAACTTTCTAATCTGGGGGCCGCATGCTAGCACTCTCTGCTAAGAGGATTGGTTGCCTGGTGATGGAAGGAGGAAGGAAAGAGAGAAGGAAGGAAGGACAAAAGGGAAGGAAAGAGGAAAAAGAAGAAAAGAGAGAAGGAAGGAAAGACAAAAGGGAGAAGAAGGAAGAGAAGGAAGAAGAAAGGGAAGGAGGAGGAAAAGCAGAAAACCCAAAAGGGAAGGAAGGATGGATGGGTAGAAGAGGAGGATGGAGGGGAAAAGAGGGAGTAAGGAGGAAGGAAGAGAAAAGACAAAAGGGAAGGAAGGAAGAGAAGGAAGAAGGGAGGAAAGAAGGAATGGAAAGAGGGAGAGAGGGAAGGAGGGAGGACAGGGAAGGAAAGAAGAAAGGAAGAAGAAGAAAGGAGGGAAGAAGGGAATAGAAGGATCGAAAAAAGAAGGAAAAAGAAAAAGAGAAGGAAGGAAGGGAAAGGGAGGAAGGGAAAAAGGGGAAAAGGGAAAAAAAGGAAAGGGGAAAATGAAGGAGGAAGAAAAAGAAAAGAGAAAGAAGAAGGAAGAAGGAAGAGGGTAAAGGGGAAGGATGGAGGGAAAAAGAGGAAGGTAAGGAGGAAGGAAAAAGGAAGAGGAAAGAGAGGAAGAAGGGAGGAAGGAGGGAGGAAAGAAAGGGAATGAGGGAAGGGAAGGAGGAAAAAAAGAAGAGAAAAGGAAGGATAAAAGAGAAGGAAGGACACAAGGGAAGAAAGGAAGGAGAAAGAGAGGGAAGGAAGGACAGAAGGGTGGAAGGGAAGGAGACAGAGGGAGGAAAGAAGGAAGGAAAGAGAAAAGGAAGGAAGGATAGTGAGAGAAAGGAGGGCCTGAGAAAAGAGCCCAAGTGGCCGCATCCGGCCCCTGAACCTTTGCTTGCCCATTCCTGATTTATATGCTCAGAACTGCATGTGCTCCATGCATGCTCTCCACTCAGTCTAATTTGCAATTTTATATATTTAAATCATATTCTCATGCTGTACCATTAGCCCGCAATTCCTTAATTTGCAATTTCAAGCATATAAATCACCTTCCTGTGCTCTACACATGCCTTACAGTTAGTCTGCAATTTGCAATGCAAAACATTATAAATCATATTCACGTGCTCTCCATGTATTTTCTGTGGTTGAACACCTCTTGGCATCAGGAAATTCTTCTAATGTTTTGGTGGAATCTCTTTTCCTGAATTTCGAATCAATTGCAGAAAACAGGCTTGCCCCTCTATGGGGTGGTGCTCATCTCCATATCTAAGCTGAAGAGCTGACGTTGTTCGCAGACACCTCCAAGATCATGTGGCCAGCATGACTGCATGAAGCGCCGTTACCTTCCCGCCAGAGCAGTAACTATTGATCTATTCACATTTGCATGTGTTCAAACTGCTAAGTTGGCAGGAGCTGGGGCTAACAGCAGGAGCTCACCCCACTCCCCAGATTCAAACCACCAATTCTCAGTCAGCAAGTTCAGCAGCTCAGCGGTTTAACCCACTGCACCACCACAGGGCCCAAAGTGTCCTCCAAGGAGGAAATTTCTCAATGTGATGAGGTCAGATTGCCTTTCAGGACACTTCCACCCCTTTCCAACCATGAAGGGCTATGCGTGACAGCCAGAAGTGATGAGCTCCGTGCCTCTCCATGCTTGAAAAAAGGCCAAAATGTCCTATGACTGGGAAATTTCTCAATGTGATAAGGTAGTTAGACTCCTAGATCTTTTTCACATGGACCGACATCAAGCCTGCCATCACCCATAGTGTATCTCTACATTTCATAAATTGGCTTGCATTAATACAAGAAAATAATTATACAGAAAGCTGGGAGACGCCGACACTTTTTTGAGGTCTTATTTTTTACTGTCCTGGAAACTAGAACTGGTTTCAAATTACAGAAAAGGAGATTTCACCTGAACATTAGGAAAAAGTTTCTGGCTGTGAGAGCTGTTCAGCAGTGGAACTCTCTGCCTCTACATGAGATGGAAGCTTCTTATTTAGAGGCTTTAAAACACATTTGATAATATCATATTTTATAATATATTTTAAACACAATTGATAATATATCAATTGATAATAATATAAAAATACACTATGATACCAATAATAAAATCTAAGAATTATATTTTATATTACATGTAATATGACTAATAATATTACAGATAGTGGTATAGTACAATATAGTAATACATCATACCAATATTGTGCTGTGCTAATAACATAATATATTGTATACACATATAATATTGATAATATAACAGAATATAATACTAATAATAAAATATAAGAATTACATTTTATATTACATGTAATATGACTAATAATATTACAGATCATAGAATCAAAGAGTTGGAAGAGACCTCATGGGCCATCCAGTCCAACCCCCTGCCAAGAAGCAGG